ATAAATAAAAATTTAAAACTTTCTTTCTAAAAAAGAAAAAATGGCTTAAGATTAATCTGTGGGGAATGCTAATTTACTAACACTGGATTTATCAATAATCCACACACTTCACATATCTTACTAATAGTACTTTATTTTTAAGTTGCTTTGTGGTTTTCAAAAAAAATTTTTTTTTATCATTGTATCATTTGATGCTCAAATAATGCATTCACTGAAGCTGGGGCAACCTCTAGCCAGGAAGGTCCTCAGATGGGCTGCCTGAGGAGTTACATATGCATTGAGTTTAATTAGCAAAATCGGCTGGGTACCGAATTACCACTTACTGCAAGTTTTCCAAAGAATAAGCTCCAAACATTTGCCTTAAAAGTTTGACTTTTGACAAATAACATTATCTATTTGTAAGGTATGATCTAGTAATATAACCATGTCACAAATGTTTGCTCTCTCATTTTGTGGTATTTTAGAAAAGTATTCTATAGCAATATAGTAACATATATATTTAGGGCTTATCTCTTTCAGAAATCCCAAAAATCAACATATAAACCCAAGAAGTAAGAATTGAATGGTCAATGCAGAGAACGGCTATTGGGGGGAAAAATTGCTTACTCCAGAACATTTGAAATAAGCTATTGCATTCCTAAGCATCAATACAGAAACTTAAAATCTAGAAGAATACTCTGCTGCACATTCTGGTAATCCACAGTCTTATTTAAATAAAGACCAAATTTTTTAAAGCATTTTAGTTTTTCTAACACATTATAACTGGGATCACTCTATCTATAGGGGAAAGTGCCTTTAAAAAAAAAAAGTTTTATTGATTTAAGTCATCTCTACACCCAGTGTGGGGCTTGAACTCATGACCTCGAGATCAAGAGTCACATGCCCCCAGAAATGCCATTTTTGCTCAGAAATCTCCATACATCTGTCACAGTATTCTGATGAGGTACGGAACAGGTAGTAGGATTTAGCTGGCAGCCTTGACAATGATTTCCAAGAAAAGAAATGTATTATAAAAATAAAAATGGCCCAACTGCATATTAATGTTAAATAATGTTAAATGATGACAACTGTATTGTTTAAGTACATTCTAATGGTCAAGAATGTTACAGTGTTCTAAGAGCACTCTTAGCCACCCAGAGGCACAGATGCATCACACAGGAAAGGACAGTTACTGCCCTCCATGAAATTTACCTAAAATATGATCAAAGTACTTCATACATAGAGACTTAAATTTTTCCTTAACCTATTTATATTTTCAACTTGGAATTTCCCTTAGAATTGCATCATTTAATTATTATCATCTCCAAATTTGCTTTGATTTGATCTCAAATGGTCTTTTAAGTGGTACTAGTGTTCTAGGATTTATATATATATATATTAGGTATTTTCATAAGCTTCTACTAGCTGTTTTATGTCTTTTAAAATAGAGAATTTAAAATACATGCAGTATTCTAAGTGGGATCTGATAAATACTGAGCAGAAGGCATAATTAATTTTTGACTTTCACATGTATACTTCTCTAGATTATACTGAAGAAAAAAAAAAAGAGCAACAGTACCAACTTGCCCAGCTACACCATAATCACCAAGTAATCATTTCAAACTAAATTCTCTAAGAATGAGGGGGTGCTTTAAAAAAAATGCCAGTGGGGCTCAAAAGAAAAATACTTTCTACATAGTATGAAACAAAATTGGCTTGTACTATATGGCTAAATAGAAAGGTCCTGGATAAATTATGCTTAATTGCAGGAAAAAACATACATTCATTAATTATTTTTAAAAATCTGCCTATGGATGAAGATAAGCAAGGCAACATTAAGCAAAAGCACTTTTTCCCTTCTCTCTGAGCACCTATTCCCTGCTCTAACCAGTCAAAGCTGTTTAGTTTTTCTTGTCAGCATCCCCACATTGAAAGAGAAAGAGATTTAACCTCAGTTATTTATATTATTCACATTTGTGTATATATGATTTTCAATGTTGCATTTTAAATCTCTTATTCTAATTGAAAACATATCATCCTTGTTTAAAATTTTAAAAATATAACCAAACAACTGGAGAGTTTGAACAAAAACCAATCTCTCTGAGAACAGGAAAAGAAATGGGTAAGGAATACCATGTTTGTTTAAATTTATTTTAATTTCAATGGTGTTATTCCTACCAGGAAAAATCCAAGATAAGCAATAAATTTTATTTTGGAATTGAGAAAACTAGAGGTGGAGGGAAGGCCCTCAAAACCCTAACCAAACCAAAATACAATCCTTTTTTCCCCTATTTCCCAGCGTATCCAGATGGACTAAAACAATATGGGAGGCAACCTAGTCAACCTGTGGGTGATAAGAGATTCATCCCTGGGAGCTGTCACGGACACGGCCCACATCCCTTTCTCACGAGCTTCTTGTAAACCCTCAAAGGGATCCTAATGCCAAAACATCTCTTTCTCTCTGGCCCCTTTAATTTCCCCTCCTTTTTCGATCTGAACAAAAGTCCTTCCCTTTTCCTAACATTGGTTAGACAATAAACTCTTTTTATTAAATTTCTGTAAACAGTTTATCTACCTGTTCTAAGATTCCTAGGATGTGTATGTTTGTGTGTGTGAATATGCATGTATAAACAAATAACTGGGCAAAATGTTTACTATAATATTTTAGGATATGATTCTATATCATGATTTAATCTCTGCTAATCTAATATTTTAGAATTTTCCTTATTATTTATATGTCTGATAATAAAGTTTTCATAATCAAATAGATCTCTGAGAAGCTTCAATTTTAGCAATAGAAGTATTTTTCCGTATCAAGCTAACCATTCTGCATTTTATCTACTATTTGGTTTTTATCTCTAAATTAGGAATCCTTAATATTTTTAAAATCCTTAATCTAGGGATCCCTGGGTGGCACAGCGGTTTGGCGCCTGCCTTTGGCCTAGGGCGCAATCCTGGAGACCCGGGATCGAATCCCCAATTGGGCTCCCGGTGCATGGAGCCTGCTTCTCCCTCTGCCTGTGTCTCTGCCTCTCTCTCTCTCTCTGTGACTATCATAAGTAAATAAAAATTAAAAAAAAAATCCTTAATCTATTTTGAGACTAGATTGAAAGCTGTGAAACTACTCTGCAGAAAACTGCAGACATACAAAACACTTTGCACAGACACTAAGTTAAAAAATTCTCAGAAGTTAGATAATAGCTATACTTGTGGTGAGCATAATGTATGGAGAAACTGAATCACTATGTTGTACACCTGAAGATAACGTAACACTGTGTCCACTATGCTCCAATAAAAAAAATTGTTTTAAATTAAAGTAATATCTGATTTTGAAGGCAAAAAAAATTCTCAGGTCCATCCAAGTTAAGAACCTCTGCTTCAAGTGAATTCAAGTACATTAAACTTTTATTAAAATAATTTTGTGAAAAATGGATATTTCTTCAGTTCCTTAGATCTCTTATGATTCCATTCATTTTTTTAATCTATAAACTAAAATTTTCTTTTTATTGGTTAAAAAAGAAAGCAGGGTCAACTATAATAGGGTGCTTATATAATTAATGTTTTCTTCCTTGCCTCAGTTCAGGGTACGATGTGTTAGGAAGATCTACATATATCCAATGCACATACAATCTACATGTGTCCAAAACATATACATAAGAGTCATGTAATTTGGGTTTGGGCACCAGAATTGAGTTTCATTTATAGACTACAATTTAATAATTTACTGAAGGCTAGATAAGTTTCATATATATGAAAATAAAACTTCCTGGAGAAATTCAAGGTCTAACACACTGCATTATATACAGTGCTCAGGACGACATACGTGGAATGGAGTCAGGAAGGTCACCAAGAATTGCTTTCTGATCTTACACATGAACTTCACAATTTGGCAATTTAAGTCACACAGCAAAATCAACTGTAATTTTATGGTCATCTCTTACATACCAAAAACCCAAATTGTAACATTTAAGTTTTAAAATTTTAGTTTCAAATTATTCCAGCTTTGTACTTCTATTTGTAAAACTATGATGGTTTATACATATGAAAACATGTACCTATTTACTTTTAATGAGTATGTAATTTGAGTAGTTTTCCTCTTGTAATGAATGAGGGCTTTTGTGGCAATTGTGATCTTCTGGGGTACCAACTACTCACTTTGTAACTTGGTTGCCATGGGTGAGATCTTTGACCAGAAAATAGAGTAAAGATAAATGGCTTATAAAGTGGTCAAATCTATGCAGGCCTCATCAGCATCATGCTTTAATACAAATAGCTTTCAAAAAAGCAATCTACATTAAAAAAATCTCAAGAAGCTGGTGCAGAATATTCAATAAATGTTTTTGCTGTTTATGCAAATGACATGTTAAAATGTTAAATATTAAAACATTAAAAATTGTAAAGTACAAGTTTTAGCTAAATTTCCAATTTAATCATTTAAAAAAGTCTTATGTGATGTAGTGATTTAAAAACAAATCCCCATTTCTTTTTTTTTTAAATATATATTTTTTAAATTTTTATTTATTTATGATAGTCACAGAGAGAGAGAGAGAGAGAGAGAGAGAGAGAGAGAGGCAGAGACACAGGCAGAGGGAGAAGCAGGCTCCATGCACCGGGAGCCCGACGTGGGACTCAATCCCGGGTCTCCAGGATCGCACCCCGGGCCAAAGGCAGGCGCCAAACCGCTGCGCCACCCAGGGATCCCCAAATCCCCATTTCTATTAACATAAATCTACTTAGCCCAAATGAGTATACATTTATGCTTGATGTTTGCCTCTAATTACTTTTGCTCAGAGTTTCAGGCAATCAAGTAATCATAGTGCCACCAGAATGCATTTTTAGAGACTTTTATCACCCAGTGAAAATAAATACTTCAAATGATATTTTCATATTAAAAAGTCAGCATTAAGAATGATATTGAGCCAACTATTTTCACTAATAATGAAAAATGTAATACTAAAACACTGTCTTGAGATAGTACTTTTATGTTGGATATATGCTGAGTACTAACACAAAATTCTTACCTGTAATGTACATGTGTGACTGTTGGTTTCCTGTACCCAAGGATCCAGGTTTGAATATCTATGGGTTCAGCTTTGGGATAAGCTATAGTTGTATCTATTATCCACTGGAGGCCTTTTGATTTGCTCTCTGAGGACAAAGCAAAGAACAACTTAAAATTGGATCAATTTTTATATTATTTAAAATAATATAGTATAAAGCATGTTGATGTATCTTTTGCTTTATGAAAATATGATGAACTTTGGTGTTACTGTTTCACATGATATACACTTAAGATGATACCAAGCATTTCCTATATGAAATGGCTGAATCTCAAACAAATGAACAAATAACAGAGCACTATTAATTACTGGACATGCACATTCAAGCATTCAATAAGGATGCACTATCAAGGTCTAATTTATATTTTATCACTCATAAAAACTGACTTATGAAAAGTCAGAAGCTAAGGTATCAAACCACAAAAGTAAAAAAACAGACCTCAAAATAAAACAAATCCATTCTTCATCAAATACAATCTAAATACCAAGATTTGTGATACTTGGAAGACATTAATAAATACTTGGAATAGGCCCCAAATTAAGCATTTTATTGACACATGATTGTCAGCTGCTGTTCTTATTTAACACAAATTTTAAAAACTCCCATTTTAGCAAGAGTTCTATGCAAATAAAGCAGTAAAACTGTCCACTCTTTGGTAGGTACAACAGGTAACATTGTAGTGAGAGGGGGTGGGAATGTTCTGTCTGCTTTGGTTGTTTGGCACACTGCTTTTATTCCCAGCATGGAGTACAAAGCTGAGCAAGAAGTGAGAGGGGAATCCTCCCAGAGAATGCAGATAGCCGGACTTGGGTGATAGTCTGTCCTTTATTTGGTATTTAAGAGAGCTCTAAAAAAATAAAACTTACTCTCAAACATAAGTCAAATGTGTACTAAGAATCAATGATATTTTATTTTTGTATATCAAATCACTAAAAGGTGACTTTAAGCTTTGAAAAAATTTAAACAATATTCTGAAGGGGACAAAATACCATAAAAATAGGTTAAGAAAATAGTAATGTTTAAATAACTTATTGTTAAAGGAACAGAGTTTAAGTAAAGAAACACATTTTAACAAGCTATCAGTGATGTACATGCTAAAATGTTTAGTAGTAAAGTATACTGATGCCTGCAACTTACTTTGAGTGCATTAAAAAATAAACAAGATGGTCTAATTTTATGGATAGAAGGATGGAAAAAGACATAATAAAGCAAATAATACAGTAAAATGTTAATTACAGAATCTAGTTGGCCAGCTAATGGATATTAACTGTAAAATTCTTTCAACTTTTTATGTATGCTTTTCATTTTTATAATAAAATGGTTGGAAAAAATTACCAGAATTCTGTTTAATATCTATTAAATCATACAATAAACAAAAAAATACCCTTTTAAGGTTAATTAGACACAATTTTGACATGTATATGGAATACATACATATATATATATATTTTATATATATATATATATTTTTTTTAAGTAGGCTCTATACCCAGTATGGAGCCCAGTGTGGGGCCCAAACTCATGACCATAAGATTAAGACCTGAGCCGAGATCAAGAGTCAGATGCCCAACCAACTGAGCCACCTAGATGCCCCAGTATTTGGATCATATATTATTATTATTATTTTTTGGATCATATATTAAAACAGACATGAAGACATGTTCTCTATTTATATGGAGCAAAACACTAAAAAGTAAATATTAACATTAGAGAAAATAAAACACAAAATATCAAAACACAGAAGAAAATGGTAAAATAAAAGTAAAACTAGTTTTGGAGTATATAACTTTCTAGAATTTCTTATAATTTTTCCTATTCCTATTTTAGCTAGAATAAAATTTTAACCAAGGTAAGATAAATAATAAGCTATTTGGTTTTCATTACAAAAAGAAATTGTTTCTCTCCAAGAGAAAAAACATTTTCTTCATGATTGTGGGATCAGTATGACAATAGCCCCTACCCTTGTGATCTAGAACACCACAGGGTATTATTTTTTTTTAAATTTTTTTATTATTATTATTTTTTTTATTTATGACAGTCACAGAGAGAGAAGGAGAGAGAGGCAGAGACACAGGCAGATGGAGAAGCAGGCTCCATGCACCGGGAGCCCGACGTGGGATTCGATCCCGGGTCTCCAGGATCGCGCCCTGGGCCAAAGGCAGGCGCCAAACCGCTGCGCCACCCAGGGATCCCCACAGGGTATTATTGACTGGGCAAAACTATTTAAAAAACAGCAGTCTTTATTAGTGCAACTAATCCTATTTGGAAGACCTTTGCCTTCAAGCTTTGGCTTGGCTGACATTGCCACCCTGTCTGTCTGAAGCTATTCTGAACTTTCCTTTTCTATTAAAAGACTCTTTCAATTTGTCTTTTTAATAGACGATGAAAGATTAAGAGAGCTGACTGCCAAGCAACTGCTTAAAAAAAAAAAAAAAAACAAATGAAAACTCAGTGCAGTCTTATAGGCATTATCTCTATGTCTGGTCCTAACCATCATTAAAAACATAAATTTCTGAGGGCAAATCATTTCCATTTTTATTTTTTCTAAAGAGCATTTTCTTATTTTTTTTAAAGATTTATTTATTTGAGAGAAAGAGAGAGAGAGGGAGAGGGAGAAGGAGCACAAGCACAGGGAGGGGCAGAGGGAAAAGCAGACTCCCCAGGGAGCAGGGAGCCCACTGGGAGGCTAGATCCCAGGCCCTAGGGACCATGACTCCAGCCAAAGGCAGATGTTTCACCAACTGAGCTACCCAGGCACCCCTAAATTTTTCTTAAATTGCAAAATATTACTAGGAAACAGGCCTAGTGTATTTCTTTTAGTTTTTTAATTTATCATGTATCACTAGGTTTCATAGTGTCTTGGATAAACTTGTTTATTAAAACAGTCTTGGGCATCCTGGGTGGCTCAGCAATTTAGTGCTGCCTTCGGCCTGGGGCGTGATCCTGGAGACCTGGGATCGAGTTCCGCGTCGGGCTCCCTGCATGGAGCCTGCTTCTCCCTCTGCCTGTGTCTCTGCCTCTCTCTCTCTCTCTCTGGGTCTCTCATGAATAAATAAATAAAATCTTTAAAAATTTAAATAAAATAAAATAAAAAAATAAAACAGTCTTCACACTGTTGGCACAAATTCTTCTGCAAACCTTCACAGTTCATCAGGCTATCTTCAAAACAGTTGTATCTTTGGGTATGGTTTGCTGGCCATAAAAGTTATACATACTCATTATTAAAAAAAAAATCAGTAAACTATTCAGAAATGAAGGGATCACCCATAATGTTACAAGTCCGAGAGGCAATCACTGCTAACATTTGGAATCTTTCCTTTCACTCATTTTTCATTGCTTATTGTTGACATATTTGAGATCACAATGGTTTCACAAGAGTTGTATGTTCCTCCCACTTCATTAACATGATAGAGGACAGGCTCCTTCCAAAGCCAGAAAAACTCTGTATAAAAATCATCTGTAATGGCTGTGTTATACTGCATTGGATGGATATTTGATAATTACTTGTCTGTTCTCTCTTCTATTTCCAATTTTTTGCTATTAAAATTAATGCTGTGATAAGAAAGAAAGAAAGAAAGAAAGAAAGAAAGAAAGAAAGAAAGAAAGAAAGAAAGAAAGAAAAAAAGAAAGAAAGCTGTAATAACCTTCTTTGCCAGTATGCTAGATTATTTCCTTTTGGTAAGTATTATTTGTAGTGGAATAATGGAGTCATTTATCAACACTAAGGATCTTAATAAACACCATCACCATCAAACTACACTAAGTTCATATTCTGTATCAAAAACAAACCAAAAAAAACTTTCTAAATTTGATAAATGAAAAAATATACATTATTACAATTTCTATTTGATATCTCTATAATTTGATATTTGATATTTTCAAATTAGTGATTTCTATTCCTGTACCTTTAACCTACCAATTCCACTTCTAGGAATCTATACTAGAGACTATATTTCCACAAATATATAATAAGATATTTATAAGGAATGTTTACTGCAGCAGTGGGAATGGCCGGGAGTATGGGAGTTGGGGTAAGGGAACGATATCTTTGACTTTATGCATTTTATATCATTTGAATAAATTATTGTAAGCATGAACTATCTTCTGTAAATAAAAACAATAAAAAATTAAATATGCATCTTCTCCCTGAGTATTATTTCTATTTGACAAAAATTATAAATATAAAAGAGAACAACAATGTCATCTTCTGGGACTTCAGAGAATCCCTGAACTCCAACAAAAGAAAAAGTGCTAAAAACCATCATACCTAATTCTTTAGCATCTCCTCCTGCTGGACTTCCATTTTCCTGTCGTGCTACAAGTGCACTCAAGATAATGTTTGTTGCCCCAATCCTTGGCAGAGTGACATGTGTAAGAAATGGCAAGTTATTTTTCTTGGCATACGCTTGACTTGTTTCTCGTCTCTTCCTGAGGAAGCCCCCTTCTGGAAACAAAACAATCCATTTTCGATCTCTGCTCCTGTAATTATTTTCTAGGTGCTTTTTAAGAAGCAGCAGCTGCTGGTCACGATGAGATTTTCCCTAATGAGGCAGACACACACATAATAAGTATAGGTACATTTGAAATTAAAACTCCATCAAATTAAACAATAATAACAGCTTCTAAAGTAAATCCCAATCATAAATTAGAAGAGCGATTTTCCCCCACTTACTTCCCCGTTTGACCACGGTGGTAAAAAGAAGTGATTAGCACTTACATTGCATTAGCACTCTAGAGGCAAAAAAAGTACTTTAAATGCCCCTGAAGAGTTCACTCATTCATCAGCTTAGTGACTATTTACTGAGTGCCTACTACGTGGCAGGTGTCATCCTACACACTGGAGATAGAGAAGTAAGTAAGACCCTCATGGAGCTTACTTGAGTGGAAAAGATAGAAAACTAAAATGTATAAATTCAGCTGGTGATGTGTTAGGAAGAAACAGAGTAAGAGGATAGAGAAGGTCAACAAGGTCAGGGAAAACAGCTCCAAGGAGGTGAAGTTGGAGCAAATGGGCTGGTAATGTGAGGGAACCAGTCAAGTGGAGAGGAGAGGCAGAGGACGCCAGGTGCCAAGAACAAGGACAAAGGCCTTGAGGTGGGAACAAGTGCTGCATGTTCAAAGAGCAGTGCCAAGGCCCACGTAGCTCATGTGTAGCTGATGTGTGATGAGTGAGGAAGATAGCGTGGTAGGAGAGGAACTGCAGAGAGAGGTGAGGACAGAGAAGGGCCTTGAGTTTGGTAAATAGTTTAGGATGAGAAGTCAATGGGTGACTTTGAACAAGGGAGGGTTATGATCTTATTTACATTAAAAAAAAACAAAACAAAAACAAAAAACTGCTGGCTCCAGGGACAGAAAGACTCCAAGAGATAAGCCTGAAGACTATTGTAGTAGTACAGGCAAGGGGGTGTGATGAGATTCGACTCCGGTGTATTAATGAGAAGTGGATACATTCAGGAAAAAGTTTAAAAGAGCAAACAGGGCATTCTAATGGACTGGACCTTAGCATGAGGGAAAGAGAAGAAAGAGGATGGCTTATGAGACTTCAAAGAGGAATCCAGAAAAATTTGTAGGAAAGCCCAAAACCCACAGACAAATATTACAAGAGTTCTTCCTTTCAGTATGGTTAATTCACTAATAATTTTCCAGCCAACACTATTAAAGAAGGCCCCAAAATAACGTGTATGCTTACAGACTTTAAATTATTCCAAAGGCAAAACAGGTAAGACATTTTCTTATTTTACTGAATTGAATGATCATGATTCAACTTTATTAAGTTCCCAAGACTGCACGTAAAATATTCTTAATATTCTTGGAAACATCTATTAGTAAAATCCAAGAGACTTTCCTTACCAATAATACTTTTTCTTTCTCCCCTCCCTCCATGCTACAGACTTTTATTACTATCTATTGGTGGGGGGGGTGCGAGGGGAGAAAATGTTGCTCTTTAGAAATGAACTTGCAGTATCTCTGATAAATTTGAAATACAATCCTTAAGTATGTAAAACTTTACACTGTAATATAAAGGAAAATGCTTTGGAGTACATTATTTTCACTTTTATATCCTCAAAGTACACTGACCATTTAGTATAATCTAATGAAGCCTGGGATTATCAACAGGGTCTACAGTATAACCGTGATAATTTCCTCACTCTCATGATGGAAAGGGCTCTGTATTCACCTAGACTGCTAAGCTTCAATGGTTGCTTCTGCTTCTTTCCCTCGTGGTACTCTAAAGATTAGGCTAGTTTCCCTTGTTAAATTGTTCTAATCACTGCTTATTCTGTCTCAAGCTTTTGGCCAATCCTCATTGCTGCTTCCTCCTGAGGTTCCAGTGAAATGCTTTCATTCATCTTTCTGCTCAGAAGAACCAAAAGTGTTTCCAGAAGAAACTAGATCATTGCATAGCATGTGAAAAACCAAATGTTCTGTATATAAAAGTGTCTAGAGTAAAGCATTTGTGTTTTGTGACACCTATAGTCCCCTTAGAAGTTTACACACTTCCAGCCTATTTCTGAATTTGTGGTTCTCTGATGAGGCCTAATCAGATTCATCAGTTATTCATTAAGTACTTATTATGTGCAAGGCTAAAGCTGCTAAATATATGAATACCAGATAAGTGTGGCATTACTATACATAAAAACTCTTATATATTTCAATTTTTGAGAAAACAAAGCATGTGATACTAGTAGTATACAAGGGAAATAAAAACCATAATGTAGTACTGACATGGTAAGAGGGTATGATTTTTTCTTCTACACTAAACTTATACCTGATGCTTGGGACTCATTTTCAATATATCCTCCTCTATCAAACTCACTGTTAGTCTTTAGATTTGTGCCTAATATCATCATCTTCTCTAAAGTTTTTCTGAATTCATAAAAACTGATGAATTCACTTTTCCTACTATGAATTTCCAAAATATTTTTTTATCTACCTACTGGTTTTAGATACTTTCTTTATCATATAATAGTGACTTGTCAATAAAAATAATAGTGAAAATACAGATGATGATAGTGATAATCCTGATAAAAATGATGACAAAGGGAGCAGGCACTGTTCTGAGTGTATTACTTCATTTAACTCCCACAACCACCCTATGAGGGCAATACCTACTATTCTCATCTGAAAAATGAGGAAACTTGAGAACTTAAATAACTTGCCTGATTCACAAAGCTAAGAAGCAGAAGAGCTGAGACTGTGGCAGGGGCTTGATAAATCTTTACTAAACATTGCACTGTTTAGATGTGAGGAGAAAGGTAGAGATTAGAATATTTGGAATGTCACCATTTTATGGCTTGAGCATATTCAAAATCAGATCAAAATAAATGTTTCAGAGAACAAAGATTCAGAGGAAGAGCTCCCTGACATACTAGAGCCCACTCTATCTAATGTAATTGTTTGGGTATGCCTATGTTTGCAATAAAGAATCATTCTGATCAGGCTATCATTGTGAAAAAGGGAATGCTCATTACTCACCTGTCTTATAAAGAAGTCTCCATGAATTAGAGAAACAATTCCAAAGTTTGTGTACTTAAAAATATGATCCATCAACCACATCATTTGTGCAACAACCTAAAAGAAATAATTACATGTTAAATAGAAGAAACCTGCCACAGTGCAGCCAGGTCTCTAAGTTTTAAATATAATCATCCAAGCATACTCTTAATTAACCTAATATCTTAAATCTAGTGTTCATTTCTAAAATTAAAGAACAAAGTCTCCATGAAAAATAATAGTCCTGATTCCAAGTCTTGAGACCCCAGGTCTCATGTATATACACATATTACTACCTAACAAATAAAGCTGAATTAACTTCTTAAGTTTGGACTTAATGATTCCAAATTTGTTCTACCATAAACAAAGTCTCTGATAATTCTTATTTAACTTGTAAAATTATTTTGAAACAATAAAATGAAGTTATCAAAATGAGGGTTATAAGTTTAATTAATAAGCACTAAAGCTTTATAAAATATGACTTTATCTAAATGGCTAAAATTTTAAGTTATAAATTATGAATGTATAAATGTAAAATTATAAAATGTTATAAAAGTACTAAAATATCCAAAATAAAAGAACATTCAAAATTCACGTCATATAATGATTTATACATTCTATTGTTAAAAAGAGTATTTGTTAGTTTATGCAAGGCTATACTCTTTATCGGCACAAAAATATTTATAGCATCTCAGTTCTTAAACATAGAAATAATATCCTTTGCTGATAAGAGTCAATACTCATATTAAGAGCAAATGACTTTATTTCAAACAAATTTCAAAATTAAATATAAGTGTAAACAGGGGTCTAATTAATAAACTAGTTAACTGTTCCTCTCTGCTGAAGAAATGGCATTCCTTGTTATAATCTTTAAATAAATTCATTAAAAGCAACAGCCTCAATCAAGAATGCAATAGAGCTCAACTTTGGTTTCTAAGGGAATAATATATGTAAAGCTTCAACTCAAAGCACCAAATTATACGAATTTAGATATTAGGAAAAAAATTAGCATTGACACTCCCACACTGCTTTTACAGAAACATTATAAAACCTGACAAATAATATAACATTCAAGCTTCTGCCTTAATTTTTCACCATCACTAAATAGTGCAATTACAAAACTCCTATCCCATCAGCTTTCCTATGTTAAATCACTTAAAAAAAAAAAAAAAAAGATACATGGCCAGTAAAGAACTGATTCCCCAAGTCAATTAATACAGAATAAAGTGATTGCCAACATCTCATTTTTCAGTCTTGTTTTGCTTTGTAATGACTTTGTTTAAATAGATTGAGATTTGAACTAAATGGAATTTGCTGAAAAGTGCCCCAAAGAACAAACCAAAAACAAGTGGTTTCAATCTATAAAATACTTGAGTTTTATACACAATATGAAGTTTAGTGGCAATTTATTGATTTCTGGGTTTAAAATACCAACGCTAAAGCAACAAGCTTTTATATTTAACCTTACATTTACAGTGGATTTATTTCTTCAATTAGAATGGTCATCTAAAACAAATCAATTCAATAAAACAGCCAAGCTATCTTCTGAGATTTGTATGGATAATTCTGTCCTTATTTTAGAGGAAATGTTACAAGTCAATAAATGTTTATTACACGTCTAATAAAGTTCTTTTGATAGAAATAAAAATTCTTGCGGTGCCTGGGTGGATTAGTTGGTTAAAAGTCTGCCTTCGGCTTAAGTCATGATTCTGGGGTCCTGCATTGGACTCCCTTCTCAGGGCGGAGTCTTCTTCTCCCGCTCACTCTACCCTCCCCCCATCCATGCTCTTTCTCTCTCTTCTCTCTCTCTTGCTCTCGCTCTTGCTCAGGGTCTCTCTCTCAAATAAATAAATAAATAAATAAATAAATAAATAAATAAATAAATAAATAAATAAAACCTTTAAAAAAAAGAAAGAAAAATTCTCAGTTTTGTCATCGTTTACCATAAAAGGGCATGGCTCAATTCACAGATACCATTTAAAAGGCACCAGCACATTTAGAAAATACAATTAATTCTTCGTTTTATAGTCCTCGAATGAAGGTCAGTAAATACCAGTTGCCTGAAGCAACTCTTCAAATGTCAATGTTTCATAGGCCTGTCACTCAGAACAGAATTAGTCCACATCAATTATTCTTTATCTGGAAGCATGGGTGTTCTAAATATAGAAAACATCTAGAGAGGCTTACATGAAGGACTCCATCCTTTATATCCTTCTGAAATTATAGTAAACTGAATGGTTGTCCTGTTTAGAAATTTGTAGGGATAATTTTGGTTGTCACAATGACTAGGGAGTGCTACCAGCATTTAGTGGGTAGCAGTCAGGTATGGAAAACATACAGCAACGCCCAAGACAGTTCAGAACAACAGTGCTGTCCTACCAAAATGCCAACAGAAATCCGGATGAGTGACATTAATAGGTAGTACAAGAAGTCTCCTACTAAATTTTAAAAGCTTTGTTACAATAACATTGCCTTTAAACACATTTTTTAATTGGCCCACAATTCAGCATTAGCCTTCTTTTTTTGTTTTTGTTTTGTTTTTGTTTTTTTAAAGATTTTATTTATTCATTCATGATAGACATAGAGAGACAGAGAGGCAGAGACACAGATAGAGGGAGAAGCAGGCTCCATGCCAGGAGCCCGATGCAGGACTCGATCCCAGGACTCCAGGATCACGCCCTGGATCAAAGGCAGGCGCCAAACCACTGAGCCACCCAGGGATCCCCATAGCCTTCTTTTTTTGAATGTACCCACGGAGTATGCCATAAGCCAAGTAAACATTTGTACTGGTAAGTGTAAATTAATATTGCCCTATGCTTATCTAGGCAGGAGGGAGAGATTATGATGCTTCCAGCTTTTTATTTCTCAATTACTCCTTTATGAAAGAAGATAAAAAATTCCTCAAGATTTCAAGTTATTTGCTAATATCAGATCATAATAAAAATGTTTGGTATAACTAATTTGAAAATAAAAACAAAATTACTCTGGACAGAAAAATGAACCTAAGTCAAACTACAAAAGCAAACAAGTGAGACAAATTTTCCTTTGTCTGCATAATTGGTGAATTTCAGATTACCTACTATTCTAGTTAATATAGTTATTATCCATGACAAACTGGGGTGAGAATAATAAAGTTAGGTGTATTTATACTGACCATTATAATCATTCTTTGAAATTAAAAAACCAATTAAGGACACTGTAAGGCCTCAGAATAATTACCATGTCATTAAGAATAAAAATGTTAATTGGGGATTCTCTTTGATGAAAAGCCAAATACACTAGTCATTACAAAATTTTAATATCACAAGTAATAAATATTATTATAAGTGCAAATCTATTTATACAGTGATATTCTCTTAACAGTTTAAGATTCTGAATATAAGAAAGGTTTGAATTTATTCCACATTCCAGCAAGATTATGCCTCTGCTTTCCAGATAAACATAAACAACAGATTCTATAATAACCAAACATATTTTCCTTTACTCTCACCTCATTTTCTGACTCTCCTACCCATCCTGAGCTACTGCATCAAAATCTCTGGGACCTAAACACACTACGCTAGTCTTGCCTTGGTGCTCTGGCCAATACTGTTTCACTAAGGAAGAAGGCACTTGCTTCATCACTCTAACTATGCCAAGTTTATGTCCTCTCCCCTCTACAAAGTTTTCTATACCTGTTGTAGATGGGGGGGCTCACCCTCCACTAAATAACTCTCACTTTGCAATTCAGTATTGGTCATTATACTTTCCCTCCACTTGCGTTGAACTCTTAGATCCTTTATGACAGTGTTTTACAGGATGGTGTTCTATTACAGTCACTGACCATGAATATGAAGCACTTAATAAACTCTATTCATTTGTTTCTTTACTATTAGGATAAATATTAACTCCCTTAATTTATACACTCTCTATTTAGTTTTCTATGAACCCAACCTCTTTAACTTCTAAGGTGACAATTCTTTTAATGCTAAAGACTGAATTTATTTTATACCCGCTCAGTTGATGGATTTTAGTTATCAATATAAGCCATATAAAAATGATGGTTCATACATAACCTAGCAACACTTAATAAAATGGGCCTAATATCTTTTCTTTCAATCCAAAATATTTACCTTTATTTCTTGGGGTACACATCCCCAAGATCACCTAATTCACTGACCAACTTAGCCTCTTTCATCTTAAACAATACTGCTTTTTGTGTCTGTATTGTTCAAGCCAGTGACTCACCACTTCACCTCAAGACAGCCCTCAATCTGAATATCTTAACTGTTTTTACCTCAGCTATCTTTTAAAAAATAGCTTTATGGAGATATCATTCACATTACTTTCCAGTTACTTTTTTGAAAGTCTCCACATCCCTGTCCTAGATTTAGAATTATATTTAGAATTATAGATGAGAGTTCTAATTATAGTTAGAATTACCTAGAATTGTATACATTTTTCTTTTTAAAATTTTCTCAATTTTCAGGAAAAGTATAGATATTAAAGTTAATGTTCTAAACCATAGTAAGACACTTGAATTGATTCTTTGTTAACCTCTCCCTTCTGCTGTCTATCTCTGCCTTCAGGATGGCTTACCAGTCCTTTGTCTTGGAGGCACATCATCAGAGTGCACACATCTCCTGTTGCCTGATGATTCACCAACATTACTGCTTCATCTTTTGAAACTGCTTTAATATCGTCCCCCCATTCCATCACTGTAAGAATAAAAAAGCCATGACTTTAAAGATTTTATATTACCAGTAACCTTATGTTAGAAAAACTGCTGTACATCAATGATGATACATCACCTAGCTAAAACTTCTCAAAGTTTCAACTAAGTTTACTTCCTCTAAACATCAAGATATAAAATTTTATAAAGCCCCAAAATACCCATTAAAATGTAAAATGGTCATCCTTTGATCTAGAAGTTCTATTTCTTAGAATTTATCCTTTTCAAACATCTGTACAAATAGGCAAAGATATATGCATAAGGGATGTTTATTGGAACTTAAATGTTCACCAATAAGGGAGTGAAAAGAAAGTAATAATATAAGGGAAGAGTATAAATCCACTGAAAGTATAGAGGGTATCTCTCTATACACTAACACTTGACTTGTTATCAAGGAAACAAAGCAAATCACAAAACAGTACATATAGCATGATTCCACCTTTTTAGGGAAGGAATAAAATTTATGTTATTTGATACAGTGAAAAATATCTTGGGGAATGAAATCCAAACTATTGATATTGATCATGATTAGGACAAGGTTTCCAGAGCCCTTCAAATTCTACTTTATAATAAAATGTGAAACATTACAAATATATGCAAGTATTTTCATTTTAAAATAAGAAAACTAGTAAATATGTTATGTTTATTAAAAATCTCTAGACAAAAAGTCACTGGACCTAAACCTATATGTACACTCTAAGGAAAACAGTGGTGTCCCCTTATAGTTATGTTTCATTTTACAGTAAATCTACTTCACAGAAAAAAATATAATCGAGCCTCAGTTCTGAACATCAAGATTCTACAAGACAAAGTTTCTAAGGTTCCTCAAATGTTTGACATAAATTATGAGAGGCTGATTATGCATTAGTATTCACTCATCTCACACATGCTAAAGGAAAAGAAATCAAGCCACCTGTGTGTAATAATTCTGGATGAAATAGGCATGGGGAGATGTGGAGCACACCTGCTTTGTCTCTTCCAGCTCCACTCCTTCTCCAGACACCATTCACTGTCACCCCAACATTAGTGGAACTCCTCATAGGAGTTCATGTGAGAAAAGGGATCTAATTTTTTCTTTCTTTTAAAACTCACTTAAGCAAGGCATTTATTTATTGACTTTAAAGACCTTAAAATTTTGTACTAAGGAAATTTCAGCTGAGCTAAACATACAGTATTAAGTTATGTGACCTCCTTGCAAAGTGAGATATTCCAATCATTCTATCAGATATTATTGCCAACACTCAAATAGCTTATACTGTATAGGAAAATTTTTAAATTTTTTTAACTGAATACAGCATAAAACTACATTAGAAGGATGTCAAGGGATGCCTGGGTGGCTCAGTGGTTGGGCAGCTGCCTTCAGCTCAGGTCGTTATCCAAGGATCCGGGACCAAGTCCCACATCGGGCTCCTGCGAAGAGCCTGGTTCTCCCTCTGCCTATCTCTCTCTCTCTCTCTCTCTCTCTCATGAATAAATAAATAAATCTTTTTTTTTTTTTAAAGGATGTCAAATAATCCTTAAGAAATAGAGGCAGAGGGATCCCTGGGTGGCGCAGCGGTTTGGCGCCTGCCTTTGGCCCAGGGCGCGATCCTGGAGACCCGGGATCAAATCCCACATCGGGCTCCCGGTGCATGGAGCCTGCTTCTCTCTCTGCCTATGTCTCTGCCTCTCTTTCTCTCTCTGTGACTATCATAAATAAATAAAAAAAATTAAAAAAAAAAAGAAATAGAGGCAGAATACTGGGAGAGAGCCCAGCTCCTTGAAAAAATGCAGCAGTACTAACTTTCCTTCCAGTGGCCTTTCCTTCCCCAAGTTCTCATTCAGCTCAGCTGACAAGCTAACTACCGAAACGTATTTAAACAGCTGCTGTATCAAACGTTGCTGTGGGGAGTATGAATTGGTACAACAGTTTGGGAAGTCAATTTGGCAATATATATCAAAACTGAGAAATGCAGAAAGCATTTTACTCAGAAATTATACTTCTAGGAATTCAACTTACAGATATATTTATTTATGTGCAGAATAACATATGAAAAACTAGTTACTACAGCTCTGTAAGAACAAAGAGGAAGGGGTGCCTTAGTGATGCAGTTGGTTAAGCAGCTGACTCTTGGTTTTGGCTTGGGTTGTGATCTCATGGTCTTGAGATCGAGCCCCACATAGGGCTCCATGCTCAGCTCGGAGTCTGCTTGAGATTCTCTCTCCCTTTCACTGTGGCCCTCCTCCCTCTCATGCGCTCTCTCTCTTTCTCTCAAATAAATAAATCTTAGAAAAAAATAAAGAGGAAAGAGAGACTAGCAAGGGAGACTAGCTTAAATTCATAGAAATTGAAAAAAATAATGGTTGCCAGGAAGGAGAAATGTGAAGGTGTTGTTCAATTCGTAGAGAGCTTCAGTCTTGCAAGATGAAAAAGTTCTATAGATTGGTTACACAATAATGTGAATATACTTAACAATGCTGAACTGTACACTTAAAAATAGTTAAGATGGGGGTGCCTGGATGGCTCAGTTGAGCAATTTTGGTTTCAGCTGAGGTCATGATCTCATGGGTTGTGGGATCAAGGCCCACCCACATCATGGGGCTCCACACTTGTGTGGAGTTGGCTCAAGATTCTCTCTCCCCCGCTTCCTTTGCTCCTTCCCCTGCTTGTGAGCTCTCTCTAAAATAAATATTTTTAAAATCTTTTTTAAAAAATATTTTATTTATTTATTTATTTAATTTATTCATTCATTCATTCATAGATACAGAGAGAGAGAGAGAGAGAGAGAGAGAGAGAGAGAGGCAAAGACACAGGCAGAGGGAGAAGCAGGCTCCACACAGGGAGCCCAATGCGGGACTCAATCCCCGGTCTCCAGGATCACACCCCAGGCTGCAGGCGGTACTAAACCGCTGCGCCACCGGGGCTGCCCTAAAAAATCTTTTAAAAAATGGTTAAGATGATAAATTTTGCTATGTATATTTCATCACAATTAAAAATTTAAAAGGGAAACTAATTAAATTATATGTAAAGGAATATTATATAATCATAGCATTTATATACTATTATGAAATGATATACTATAAGTAATAACAGCAAAATGCAGAACAGTGTATCAGGAAAGCCATTAGTTGGGTTTTAAAAAGGATGGTGAGAGGAGTGTCTGGGTAGCTCAGTTGGTTAAGCATCCAAATCTCAATTTTGGCTCAGATCAAGATTTCAGGGTCATGAGATTGAGCCCCATGTTGGGCTTGTGCTGGGCATATAGCCTGCTTAAGATGCTCTCCTTCCCTCTCCTTCTGACCCTCCCCCCATCCTGCTTACATGCATATACACACACTCAAAAAATAAAATATAAAGGAGGGAGAGGAATATATTTGCTAAATAAAAATTCCCCCATCATGCCTCTGCTGACAACCCTTCAACAGAGACAGACAGACAGACACAGACACACACACACACACACACACACACACACACCTTAATTCATTCCTCATTCAATAAATCAGCATCAGGCACTATTAGGTGTTGTGGATATAAAATAAAAAGAACAAATGTATTATTCTAATAGCAGTTAAGATGCTCAAGAAAAGTCTATCTTGGTTCTATAAATATTGAGCTATTAAGAGGTAACATGGAAAGTCTTCTGGCTCCACATCTATATAAACATAAGTTTCATAACCAAATACTCCCTTAATGTAATTTCTGCCACATTAATGGAAAATGCTAGATACCTAAGTCTATGCGATGGGAAAACATGTAAGTGAATATAACTGCAAATAAAAAGTTTTTTTACATAAATGTATCCTACCTGTTTGCTTTATATAAAGTAGATAATTCTAGCGTGTTGGCTTAAATCTCATATATTGTATTTAGAATCCTCTGAAATGGGTTCTAATGGGTGTTCCCCCCCCCCACCAAATTTTCATCCATCTAAAATCTGTAAATGGGACCTTATTTGAAAACAGGGTCTCTGCAGAAATAATCAGTTTAAGATGAGATCATACTGGATTAGGGTGGGCCCTAAATCTAAGTCCAATATGACTGGTGTCCCTTTACAAGAGGGAAAAGTGGACAGAGAGATACATAGAAACCTAAGTGACAACAGAGGTAGACTTGGGTGACAGATCTACAAGTCAAGGACTGAGGACAATTACCAGAAACAGCAAGAGGCAAGGAAGGATACTCCCCTAGAGCTTTCAAAGAGAGCATGTCCATGCTGACATCTTGATTTTGGACTTCAAACCTTCAGAGCAGTGAGAATAAATTTCTATTATTTGAAGCCACCAGTTTGTGGTCCTCTGTTATATTATAGTAGCCCCTGAAGCTAATATACCTCACCCACCTCAACTTTTCCCATCCTTTTTCTCTCTTTCCCATTCTATTCCATACTCTCAAATTATAGTTTTTTTTCTGATCAAATATGGGAAAAGAATGGCACTGTTTTTAAACATCTAGAACATTTTAATAGACATCTAATGTTACATATCATAAATGGTTCTCAATGTTCATTTCTATAATCCTTTCAAGATTAAATCTAACATATTTTATCTCTCAGCCATAACTTAGCCAAAATTTATTTTCAAACTAAATGTCAATTTACTAAGACTCACATGGTATACTAAATCAAACAAGTGAAGGCAGCTCAATCAAATTCTTATTAAAAAATTATCCTGAAGTAGCAATAAAGTCATGTTGAATTTTGTAAAATCTAAATTTTTTTCGAATAAATTCAGTTTCCAATATTTATGGTATTCTTTTATCATACTTTTACCATACCACTACATACTTCAAAGACCACTGTTAGTCATTCGGCAAACAAATCAAGATAAAAATGCTTGTAGAGGGTAGCCCTGGTAGCTCAGCGGTTTAGCGCCGCCTACAGCCCAGGGCCTGATCCTGGAGACCCAGGATCGAGTCCCATGTCAGGCTCCCTGCATGGAGCCTGCTTCTCCCTCGGCCTGTGTCTCTGCCTCTCTCTCTCCTCTCTGTGTATTCTCATGAATAAA